ACAATATCGAGCCAAGCTTTATTTTTGCGATTACAGAAGTCCTCTGCATAAGTTTTCACAGTTGATAAATAATTCACACTTTTGTCGCAATTGTAGAGGACAATGATGATTTTCCATGACCGTGGGAGACGATGATGATGATGATGTCCATAAAACCGTAGGAGTTGTCCAAAGTTTTACCACATCTGCCATTTTGAGGATTTTTATTACTGTAGTGTTTCTCAAAGTTCTTCCTGAAAGCGATTCAGAAAGTGAGAGATTCAGATAGTTGGAGTTTGTATTATTGGAGTTGTACTGTATGGTTACCACTTTCATTGCTGATACATCACCGTTGTCTCCTGCGGTTGAGGAGTAATCATCATTGCCATTGGTTAATAATTGCAATTGCTTTCTGTGATCGAAATAATTCTGCAAAAATAAAAGCTGGGCTCAGCCAGGAATTATAATTTGGTGCTCAATCTTTCAAGTGTTCATTTGGCTAAACAATTAAACCATTTGCTGGCCTTCTTTCTCAAATGATATCACTCTTGGCACAACTCTAATGCAATGAAATTCACAAGAAAATACAGAAAATTCAATATGGCATGGTTTACTCATAAAAAGAGCTCAATCCTGTATTGATCTAATCCAAGACATTGATTTTTATATTCCAGATTATAGAAAGGCATCTAACTCTGAGCAAACAGTGGAAAGGAAGCGATCACTGTTGTTCTTTGGAACCGGACGAGTTCAAACAAATGGTCAAAGACATTCGGACTGTTGAACAAGCTCTAGGCAGTCCTGTCAAGCAATTCCTTTCTTGTGAGAGAAGCTGCTATCAGAAACTGGGAAAAAGCATCGTCGCCGCTCGAGATCTAACTAGTGGCTCAGTGTTGACTCAAGAATCTGTTAAAATCAAGGTGTCAGAACCTTCTGGTTTGAGTTGCAAACATTTGAGTTCTCTTCTTGGGAAAACTTTAAACAAAGATATAAAAAATGATGAACCAATCCTACTTGACAGTGTCAGTGAATGAGTTTAAAATGTTAAAACTGTTAAAAGTTAAATTGTATGTGCCAAATTATCAGTATTATTGTGCGTTCTTGTTTGTATTGTTATGAAAATCCAAATTTTGAACATGTATGTGTCAAAGATAATATTCATATTGTTTTATAATTGTGTTTATACCAAAGTTAATACCAAATATTTGTTATCTTTTCTGTCTTATAGAAAAGTTTTGTCATGTTTAAGTGTATATTATCATTATATTATGAAAAACCTTGTGAAACTTAAATGTTGTATTATTTTTTATTTGTTTTATTATTATTTTGATTTCTTAATGTTAAAATACCCTTATAAACTCTTTTGGCCTAGACAAAATAAATCAAATACATTTTTAATCAACTTAAATACAGATTTTGAATACTATCTTTTATTGGATATTTTATTCTATAACCTGAAGTTAACAAACTTAGTTTGAGGTAGCTAGGTTTCTTGTAGTGAATGGAGTGATATGTTTATGAAACATTTTCACAAACAATCTATTTGTGTAGCCACATCAGCTCAATAATATCAAAACATCTAAATTCACACCTATAGATCCTATAGATACCTAAAACTCCTCAAATCCTAGAGTAATAGCCCTAAGAGTAAAACATAACTTTAATTAATAGCCTCTGAAAACTAACTCGTAATAGCCAAAGTACAGGAAAGCTACCAAACATATATAAACAGGTAATCAAATCTGGGCGGAACAGATTTATCGAGATTAGCAAAATATCTAGTGGATCCGCCGGAGGTAAAGGATCCACGTCACACCCGGGACTTGGTGTTTGAGCTGAAGCCGATCAACCAAGATCAACTAGTAAATATTATCATAAATAGTATAAAAAGGTTGCTCTGCTCCAGGATGGGATAACATCCCTGCAAAACTTATCAAGACCTCCAATTATCTTGTTCAACTCATATTACATCTAATAAACCTAAGTATTCGTACAGGAGAGTTAACTGACCTATTCAAAATTGTCATCCCTGTCTACAAATCTGGTACAAAAACTGAAATACCGTAATTTTAGACCAATATCTTTATTGGTTTGGGAGTCAAGTAGACTTAGTAATTTAGTACTGACGATGACGTTTCTTAGTTGATTGTTTTTGATTTTTCGTTACCGTTGATTTGTTTTTGCCTGTTTAAAAAACTTCAGTATCTTGATTAGACTATACAATTCTTCTTTGAGCAAATAGCTCAAGATATAGAGGTAAACAATTAACTTTATGGCGTATGGCTTAATGTCTTTACTTTCTTCACAGGTTCATTTATTCATATCAAAGCATTTGAAATAATTAAATTTTCAATTTTAAACATTCCTTTTCCAAACTCTCAATTTTCATTTAGCCTACATTACGATGTTTTATTATTACAACACAGCTTGCACAAATTTTTGTTTCCCCAGTAAAGTTTTCAGAATTTTCGTTTTGTAGAACATTCCTCCGCATCACTGCGATAATACTGTGTTCAGTAGACACAAGTTTGATTCAGGGCTCACAAATGTTTAACATTCCCCAAACCCAATAATCATTAAATTAATTCCTTTAAACATCTTCAAAATAAAGAAATATGAAAATGTTTGAAGTCCAAAAATCGCTTCTTTTAACTAACGGCCTAGCCGTTTATACTATTTATTAGGAGCTCCTAATAATTAAACTCTAACCGACTGCTCAGGAGATATGATAACTAAATAAGGAATTGGCAGGGTAACTGCCAAATTTGTATAAATGGCCTGGTTTGGTGTTAACCGACCATCACACCTCTTTATCAATACATTAGTATCAATGATTAATCAATATGATCATCGTCCAAACCAGTGGTCAGAAACTTAAGAAATATTTATTTGAGTAATTATTTGAAGATAATTGAGTCTCCATATATGAATATCCCAGCATCACCAAACTATCTCCAACCTCGTTTAAATTGTAATAATATTCTATAATGGTAAAAGTTAGGCCCTATGAAGCTGCGAATATGCTCATTGCCGGTGCTGACTCGGGCCACAGAAAACGTACTACATACTACTAGTACGTTTTCTGTGCTCGGGCTTTCTGCTGCCGGAGCTAGCCTCCGTTGGGGGGTATATTTGACGGGCAAAGAGGTCGAGCCTTGCGCAGGGTGCTGCTCAGAGACTACGCTGAACGCTGATTGGTCCGCGAGGCGCATCAGCATTGCCGACAACCAAGGAAGGAACAAGGCAGTCCGCGCCATCGATGTATATAACCTAACATTAGGTTAGGTTATATACATCAATGGTCCGCCGCAGAGATGGGAATTATCGTTGTTTTCCGGCAACGGTTATAACGATAACGCAGCTGCCCAATAACGTGTTGCGGCAACCTGTTATTTCAATAACGATTGCCAACTCGTTGCCGCTGTGTAAACCGTTGTCCACCGGTCGGCCGGTCGGTGTTGCGGCGTTCAGTTATCGTTGTCGGTTGATCAGTTCAGTTTTCAGTTGTAGTCACGAGTCGGGCGTTGCCGCGTTGTCCAGACAGGATGCGTTATTCTAATTCTAGTTCGTTTCAGAAGTTATCGTTGCTCTGGTAGCGTTGTGGCAACGGCAATAAATGTCAATGCATGTTTTCGTTTTCGTTGTCCGCGCGGCTTTCCTGCAACATTGTGTAGATAGATATACGTTATTATAATAACAGGGAGTTCTCGGCAACGAGTTGCCGCGATAACGTTGCCGTGGTCGCAACACTGTTATTCATCCTGTTATGTTAAATAACGCCCATCCCTCCAGATTCCGCGTTGAAATCTCAATTAAAACAGACGCGACTCCGTGATCCCTTTAACCTAAATTGTATGTACTTTTTTCTAACTTAAATTTCTAAATTCTTTTGCTCTCAACCATAACTGTATGGTTTAGTAAGTCGATTAATCAATAAATCTCATTGTTTCCGAATGTGCGTGTATTCGTGTATAATTTTAATAAGCTCCCAAGTTTCTTGGTCAACGCGAAGTTCGAAGTGTCGAAAGGTTTTCGGCCGATTTTTGTGGCCTATTTAATTCATGTAAAATAACAGTATCGTAGTTGACTTTGATTTGTAAGCAACATTTATGATTCCCATGTAAAATGTTATATAATTGGTTGTTGTTATTTTTGTATCAACAAACCCAAATAAGTTTAACATTAAATAGAAAAAAAAGAAATTAAAAATGTAAAAGGATGGCGTTTCATTTATAACTACACAACTACTGTAACACCAACAAGCAGTTGAAGTAACTTTTAAACAGGCAACTTTTTTATCTAGCGCTAAAACATAATTTTTATAACTAATCTAAAAAAGGGGAGTGTTATATCTTATTCTAAAATTATTCTAAAGTGTAATTATTAATCCAACTGAATCGGTAGACCCCCACATTTCATCGCTTTCTATGCAACAAACAGGCCTAATTGGTTATTTAGTATTGTAAAACTGTTCACAATTCATGTTAGTTCAAAATCATAAAAATCATTATTTAATACACAAAGATATTTGTGTCATAACGGGAAATACCTCCTCCAAACCAGCTTAAATCGTGTCTGAAAAAGTAAGGTTTGTGCGTTTAGCTTGTATCTAGCGACGAGGCAGCCACGGCCGGGACTGCAGTGACGTCATCGCGCGCAGTCCGCTCTGTCTGGCCCACCTCTTTTACTCCATACATCTTGGGTCAGGACTGCCAACGTCAACGTCACTATCCCTTGTCAGTGTCAGAGCAGAGCAGACAGAATACAGAATTAAACAACAACAACATATTGAGGAGAGGATTGAAAAGTCATAACTTAATACTACAGAAATAAAAATCCTCTGCTAGTCCTGTGGTTTGGTTCAATGTTATTGTTTTACGAAAATATAATAATTTAATTAATTAATTATTAAGTTATGTTTGTTTTGTGCTACTCTTCAAATTCTAGCTGCTAAGGTGACCGACTTGTTAATGAATTGAAACTATGTAATATATTTAGTTTGGATATTATGTTGTAGTAAATTAAGTTGTTAGGTAGACTAAATCCAAGTTTTAACCCCAAAATTGTAAAATTTTATAGTATAAAACATGTCCTAAATATTTAAAACCTTAATTGAAATCGGCTTAAATTAAAGTGAGTGAGTGGTAAGTAACTTAGGCCTAAATCATTTGAATTGTATTATTACCATTTACCATCCGGTCTTCTCCACAATCCAGGGATCGGGAAACGTCATGGTAGTGAAATTTTTACTGGTAGTGAAAGTGAAATACCGTCACCGTGGAACCTGATAACAAGTCAATCTTGATAACAGAAAATGTAGTTTTCAAATAGGCTAGGCTAGTCTTGATATTATACTACCCCTAATGATATGTTAAGTATTGCAAACATCTTTAAGAAGCCAACCTTGATTCCAGGTCTTGTTTTGATAATCCTTATAGGCTTAACTTAATGACATGTTACTGCAAAATGCTTCTGCCTGGTTTGTAGCAACCGTTTCCAGTCTTAAACCCTGACAAGACCAGACGATGGTTTGTAATCTGGCTTACATTCTTCCCGTAAACCAGAATCAAGTAAGATAAAGCTTTTGGGTAATGTATTGAACAATAGGCTAAGTTGGGATCAGCACATTTACCAGACTATAAATAGACTCTCTTGTGTCTGTGCCCTTCTTCTTAAGCTGAGATTGTTTGTGACTGAGGACTACCTTAACCCTTCCTGGACGGGTGACGGATATATCCGCCTAAGTTTTTGGCGATAAATGACGGGTAACGGATATATCCGCTTATGGTTTTTGATGTTCCGGACGGGAAGCAGATATAACCGCCTTCTCTTCACACAGACTGGCAGGTGCTTGAGCAGTAACCAGATGTTTCGTGGTACCAAGGCGCCACTTTCCTGCTCTCTCCATGGCTGCGCTCTCTCCCACACCCCCTCCCCTCTCTCCTGCGCCTTCCCCTCTCCCACGCCTCCACCTCTTCCGCACACCACCCACCTCTCCTACGCTCCCCCCTCGACATTTCGGGCTCAACACTATGTTATCTTTATTTATTATTATTGTTTACATAGGCCTATTGTTCTTTATTTATTGCCTAATGTTGTTATGGTCATATCTTCAAAGACGGGTGATATAGGCCTATCCACTGCTTTTCTACTCATCCGCTGACGGGTAGTGGATATATCCGCATAGTTAAAAACGAGTAAAATATTATTTTGACAGTATGAAGTGTTCCATTGTGTTTCTGTTTTGTATATTTGTATAACAAAACACAAATAAGGAAAATTAATTTTTATTTTTTCCTATAATTTTTTCTTGTTCTATGTCACGATTTTGCCCGTCCGGGAAGGATTAAAATGGTCTACTTTGCCTTATTCTATTGCCACGTCACATATAGGCTATGTACTGCTTTTGTGGGGACATTCTCCAGGCACAGTGGAGATTCTCAAGATTAACAAAAGGGCCTTAAGAATCATCACCTTTAGTGACAGACAGGCTCATACTTAGTAGGCCCCTTTTTGTGAAACTAGCAATACCTACTGTCTTCGGCCATTCTCCTGGGCCTTCTTCATGTTTGGGATAAACATAGAGACCTGACGTCCCGTGCCATGGTCCATTCTGAGATTGCAAACATACGGTTACCGATAGTCATCTTTCTATCATCCCTGGAAGTTATTTTTAACTTGTATTTGTTGATTTATATTGTTTTTATATCTTGAACTGTCGTACACATTGTGAAGTATTTTTTTCTTATTGTGCGTAAGCGTACGTAAGTTAAAATTAATTTTTTTTTGTCGAGACACAATCTATCCCTAATTTGGGTAAAAGATGAAGAAGGAGTAAGTAATAGGGTGGGCAAAAAATCTATAATTTTTTTTTGAGTTGTAATACCTTGGAAAAGTTGCTAAATTGTAAGACAAAAACAGGGTATAAATACAAAAAATATTGAATGTTATCTTCCGGTTGCGCATGTGCTCTAAAATTTGGAAAAAAATGAAAAACTCATATTTTTTGAAAAATTTTTACAATTTTTAAATTTGCGATTTTTAAAATGTAATAGTTGAAAATGTTATCTACAAGACACTAAGAAATTGATATTTAAATAATAGTATTGTATGTTAATATCTTCCGGTCGCACATCGGCGGCAAATATTGCCAAAAATCAAGAAAAACTTCATTTTGTACTTTAGTCTTATTTAAAATATAATAATCGATATTAAAAATGTAATACCGAAAATCTCTTTTTACACATTCAGATAGCAACCTAACAAAAACAACAGACAAAGTCAGAATTGATCTTCTGGTCGCGCATAGCAATACAAATTCACTTTAGCGCGGCACTATTGGGTCAGTCCCGGGCGACGTAATGATTCCGAAGTTTAAGATTCCGAAATTGAACAACAGGTTGGTGGCATTCAAAACCTGTACAAACTTAAATTATCCTACTGTTTCTGTGAAGAATATCACTGAAACAAAATTGTCATATGCCTAACACTTTGATAATTCCAGGGCAAAGCCTATACAGTAGGTTGATACAGCAAAGATTGTGGTAGGCCTATCTTACTTAACTTCATAATTAGGTACACAATCTAGATCAAATAAATCAAAACTAGCTAGTTACTTGTGCTGCTAAATGTGAAAATTTAATTTCTTTGAATCAGCTGTTTGCATTTGTTAAATAAACATTTGTTAATTTTGCTAGTTTACATAAAAATGTCTTATTTTCATTTCATTTTATTAAAAAATTTTTATTTTTAACAAAATTAACTATTCTCGCCAATTTCTATATCTGGCCAGGGCGTAAAATTCCGGAGGTAAAAATGTACATCTTACGAAAGGGGGTAAAATTCCGGTATTTATTGCTAATCTAATTTATCACGCTCTGTCTATTTTCATCAGACTCCCGAATCTGTAGGGGTAAAATTCTGCCCGCGAACAAATTTGAGAGCGCTCAGATAACTACTTCATAGTGACGTCAGCTCTGCTCAGGGAGCGAAATTCCAGGGGGTAACATTCTGGCGACCTGTCTTAAGTATCAAAACTTCCTTTTAGCGAATTTCCCTATACCTTAGGGAAGTAGTTATTAGGCTACCATAGGTATCATGGTTAGACCTGGGCTTGGGACCAATTTACTTCTTCATTTTGTCCCTTGAGGCTAAAAACACTATTCGTCTGCTTGCTTATGTATGTTGATCAAATTAAGCTAATTTAATTATTTCATCCTAGATACAATGCAAGATACAACATTTGGTCAAAAAACACCTTTTCCCTTCTCCTTAATAGCAAACCTTGGTAACTTACTGATTAAATCTAATGTTATTGAGCGGCGAGCGAAGCAAAGCTCTTTGGGATCAACTTCAATGCAATCTTTATAACTCCTCAATAATGGATGAACATATTCTAGCCAAACTTGCCAAGGTTGTTTTGTCAAATGTTTGTATGGTTTAGACCTAACCAAATTCAATTTTTGATAATGCCTATATAGTTTTATTAACACGTTCGCGGCGGCACGTCAAATGGCGGGCGTATCCCAGGTCCGGCGCAGCCCTCAGCATCGAACAAACCCGATTGCCGCGTGTGATTGGCTTTCCAATTTCGGGCTGACAAATAGCAAATAACGTGCGAGGATGTCCTGCTTTACAACGAGAGTCGACGTAGTTCGCTAAACAACAACAGATAGCAGCACTGCTTGTAACGTAGCCGGTCCCATTGGAATTGTATTGCCAAATGGAGGGAAAAAGACGGGACAAAAGTAGTAGAATTTTGAGATTGCCAGACGGGATTTACGGGAAGATTTACTACCAACCAACACCACAACAAAATACAGTATACTATTGAGCAGTGCTGAGCGAGGTTTCAAGTTTCTAGCTCTAATCCTGGCTTAAAAATAAATCATTTCGTACTGCATTGCAGCTTGGGAGCGATCGCACCCACCAGAATGACATTAGGGTTCCGTATGGGAGCGATTGCTCCCATGCCGCCGCGAACGTGTTAAAGTAGCTAACTCAAAGTTTTTAAATTTTAACATTGGTCTTATGGGTTGCCATGATGGTTACAAAATAACAACGTAAATGTAAACAAAACAAAGAACCATAGCATGTGTTAAAATCAAGCCACAACCTACAACACAGTACAAAAGAAAAAAAATTGGATGATGACAACTGATCAAATAATACAGGGAAAGTCTTAGGTTTACATTTAAGTTGCAATTTGGAAACAACCATTGATCGAATAGGTACAGTCATAGATCAAACATATTCTTCCTTAGGTTCAGTATTTAACAGATTGATCTACATAGCTAAATAAGGTTATAACAAATGACATTTTATCTTAAACAATTCGTAGGTTGAATTTGAAACACATTCATGGAACCATCTCATAAATGGCAAACTAAAACAGGTCCATGACGTAGGAAGTAGTAGGCCTAATAGCGAGAAATGTGGAGTGTGGGAAACGTTTGCGGCAGTTAGATTAATGTTATGGAAAGGGAGGGAAACAGGTCCACGATGTAGGAAGTGGTGAAAGAAGTAGTAAAGGCTAGCAATGCAGAGTGTGGGGACATTTGTATTTTGTATTATACCTATTAACATTTTTTCATTTATTGCTTTATTAAAATTAAAAACCATGAAACATGATTGCTCCGCTCAACTGGCTTTCACTGCTATGAAAGCAATCCTAGTTTTAAATAGGGAATATCTTCTATATAATTAATACGCTAACATGAAATTTGTCTTTTGAACCCCTCCGCCATTTCTTAACCGATTTGACCACTTGTGTCTTATTGGAAAGAGCGTGTCTTGTAGATTTGCAAACTGACCTTAGATTTTTGAAAAAGTACTTGGGCTTTGCCCCAGTGGTTTTTAAAGTTCCCATGATCTCATGAAGAGAATAATTGTTTACATTATGATCAGCTGGATAATTTAATTGCTGTTAAAATAAAAGTTGCAATTCAGGAATATCCCCGCAGCAGCAAACCTGCAGAATAAGCGACTTCCATTTCTTACTTAACTATTAACATTTTACAAAAAAAAAAAAAAACATTTACCCTCCCTGTTGTAGCAAACCTAAGTAGTAATTATTTACCTATTTTGCCGGAAGGTCTTGTAGTTTGAATTAACACTCGATACGCATTTCGCCGCTCCGTGCGGCATCTTCATAGAGTACCTTCTTAAACACTACTTTTACTATGGTTACCATGTACATATTTACACTATATTTTCCAATCACTAACCGGTCACATTCGCGGTCGCGGTTGCCTGGCAACGGTGACACGCCGGGCAACCACGACCGCGAATGTGACCGGTTAGTGATTGGAAAATGTAGTGTAAATATGTACATAGTAACAGTAGTGTTTAAGAAGATACTCTATGAAGATGCCGCAGGGAGCGGCGAAATGAGCATCGAGTGTTAATTCAAACTACAAGACCTTCAGGCAAAATAGGTAAATAATTAATGTATAATACAGGTCTTGTCACTGGGTTCAAAAAACATTAAACCTAAGTACTCGTTAAACTAATTCTATTTAAATAGGAAATAAATGTGATATTTTTACGGAGGCATTTTAGTGTAAATCTAATCAGGTTAATGGAAATTCGATTAGTCTGCAGGTTTGCTGCGGCGGGGGTATTTTTTATTACAATGTTGATAGCTTGGTATGAAATAAAACAAATTTCCAAATTTGATTATAAAATACATTCATAATCAACCAAACTACAACAATTTATTTATCCTCCATAAGAATAACATGGGAATTTTAAATTTAAATTTTTTTGATTATCTTCGTAACCGTTGAGCATACGACAACACTTCAATATACAAAATGATTTATTTTTGTAAGCTTTGCAAAATGGTTTGTAGAGAAATTATGAAATTTTGTGTTTTTAGGGTCAAAAATGGGAAAAATCAATTTTTACTAAAAAAACCCCATAAACCCCCCCCTCCTTCCCATAGTCCAATCATGCTGGTTCGCGAACTCTTATTACATTGTTTAAGGAAATATTTTGGCAAAAACCAATGAGACAAATTACAAATTAAAATTCGCTTTGAAAGTCTGCAGGTTTGCTGCAGTGGGGGTATGTTTCACATTAAGTTAGATTAAGTTTTGGGTCTCGTCACTTTAAGAGATAGACAAGTGTTAAGCTAGGCGCCCACCGGGCAACTCAGCGGGTGACGCGGCGCGGCGCGACGCCGTGGAAAAAAGTTGCCACGTATCCGTGCCATGTTATCTTATGGACTGACGCCCACCTAGCAACCCAGCGGGTGGCGCAACGCGGCGCGGAAAAAAACTTCTTCTCGAATCCGGCAGTGAGAATTCGGTGGAGAATTTCTTCCTCTCGTGTTGCCGCGCCTCCGTTGAGTTGCCTGGTGGGCGCGGGGTAGAGGCACGGAAACGGCGTCTGCCCCTCGTCTGCCGCTCATTCGGGTGTTTTCGGAAAGTATCGTGAGCCCTTCGGGAGTGTTCGGGTCCGAATCGAAGTGCACTGTGTATCCCATTCAAAAGAATAATTCTCCGCGCTTCCGCTATAGTTGCTTGGTGGGCGCGAACCCTGGAGAAGCGGACGGAATTTTTTCTCCAGGTCGCGCCGTGCCGTGTCGCGTCGCGTCACCCGCTGGGTTGCCCGGCGGGCGCCTAGCTTAAACGGCCTTTGTTTGCATAAGCGGCTGTGACATGTTAGTGTCAACACAAAACTCTGTTCTGGTAAAAGATAACACTTTATGTAATCTACTTGATGATGAGAAGTAACTATAGGCCTATAGAAAGTTATGCCATCCAACCTTGTTGAAAATGTTAACAAACTTGAGATTTAATGGTTAACTTAGGACCTGTAACTAGACTCTTTTTCTGTTTCTTCTATCCTATAATATAATATAATATCCTATTATCAGACAAAAAAACTAAACAACTCTTTACTAAACTTGATATTTTTAATATAGGGATGTATTTAATTTCAGACAAGTTGGCCGATTAATGTTGAAAAATGAATTCAAGTAATGATAACCCTAGGAAGAAAAGTATTGACTGGAACAGATTTGGGCTTAACTCTAATCACACTGAGGGAGACATTGGTCTTGCAGGACTTTCCTATGGAACTGATGGACATCAGCCTACTGATGCCAACGAACTGTTTGCTGGCGAACAGGTTTGTGTTTGGAACAGTAATATTTTTCTCAGCAGTATAACAACACATGTCCGGGCCCGTTTTTTTATTAACTTAGCAAGTGAATTGAACCCTGGTCTTGTGAGTTAGTAGATACTAAATCTTTAACTACATGATAATTCTATATATTTGTATGGTTGCCATTTTATACGAAAGTATTAAAGTTTTTATTAATTGATAATAGTAATGGTTGGTAAAAACATTTAAACTTAGATCTAATATAGGCCGAAGTAATAACATGTGTAACATGGCTTTATGAATAAATGGAAAACACAAAGATAACATTAAATTAAAGTTATAAGAAGAAAAGAGAAAAATGTATAGTAAATGTGAAAATTATTTAAGAAACCAATATAATATCAATTTTATATTAGTAATTAGCCTAATGATTGGTGCAAGAGGGACTATTACAAAATTTGTTAACAAATTTATAAAAAAATATAATCTCTCATCAAAATTAAAATATGAAATAGTCATAAAAGTGTGGATCATGTAAAATCAAAATAATTTATTTGGACAACATTAAGTTACTTATTATTTATATCATAAATTGTTACTGTGTCTGACAAAGTTTATTGTAATAAACTCAGTTTTCAAAATAAATAAATCAAATTACAGTTGACGAATAAATATGTGCATGCAAGTTTGAACTTAAATATATTTAAATTAGATCAACAGATTGTAAATTAAATAAAGTTAGAAAAAAAAAAAAAATTGTATTGAAACAAAAATAAATTGAAGCTAGTATGGACAGTGTAGGCCTATATTTTGCCTGTTAAAAGAAAAATAAATCTATTATAAAGTAATGTCAAAAATAATGTGCAAGAAATAATAAAAAAGTAAGTCACTTTTTTTAAGTGCTACACTAACAGTGAAGTTTAACACGTTCGCTACTGCAATAGTACGAAATTTTTCATTCACATGGACCAGCGACACACATATGCGACGGCCGGTCTCCACCCATAGACTGCCGTCGCGTATATGCGACGGCTTGTCACATTAAATTGACTGCAGTCGCATATTTGCGTCAGGGTTCTAATGTTATTAAAATGCTTATATCTTTGTAACGGTCTATTTGAATGCACTGAATTCCCTGCAGTGGCTACAGAGATGTCTGACGCACAACTGCGTCGCTTGGTCTGTGGATATGATGATTGGTGACGTCATATGATAGTTGGAAAAACTGGTCTTTCTTTTCTGCATCACTGTATAAATGTATACAGCATGTATGCTGCATTATCCTATGTAGCTTTTATATTTGTTCAGCTATAAACTGTTCTTGAATAATCTGTTTTTTTTACTTAATTTCACCTCAAAACACAAAAAAAATTAACTGTCACATATATGCCACGTTTGGTCTATTTCAAGAAAATTATGATAGTTTTCACTATTGTCTTCGCTGTAGACCGGGCGTCGCAAATATGCAACATTACAAAAGGTTATAAAAAATCCAAAAAAAAACAAAAACAGAATAAATTATTTACAAACACTATTGTAGCGTATTACAATGTAAATGATCACTGTTTTACAGGTTTTCGCCCGTGGTCTGTGTGTACTGTTATCCAAGTGACAGCCAGTCTATGTGTAAGATTCAAATGTATATCTCGGTCTGTGGCAATGACCGCAGCGTTGCATATATGCGACGCTCAGTAGCGAACGTGTTAAACTTCTATTTGTAGAGTAACTACTGAACCAATAGTTCTGAAATTTTGTTGGCTCACTCATAGGCTTAGGCCTATTAAAAAACGATAATCATGTAATTTTATACATTTTTTTGGATTGGTTTTTGTGCTGCTGTTAATTTGTATGTGCTAAAATCATTATTAAAACACTACAAATTCACTACAAAATGTCATCTTTTTGTAATTTTTTATGTTTTGAAAGGGAATTATCCAAACCTTGGTCTTTTTACTATCTAACCTGTTTGTTAGATAGCATCATTAATCCATATCTGGGTCTGGAAACGATCTCCCTTGGATTCGAACCAGCAACCTTCATATTTGAAGGCGAGCACTATAACCACTAAGTGGGATTAGCTACCCAGACAAATTAAATCACTTTACATGACTCTTTTCCACAAAATTCACTCCTACATGAGATAGTGACAAGATATAGGTACATGATCTTGGTTTCAAGAAATTGTATGCTTGGTGGGAGCCTAAGATTTTGATGGACGACCATAAGATAAAGCACATGGAGGCAGCCCTTGAATTTTTGACACGGTATGACAAAGATGGAGACCAATTTCTTGATTGTATTGTTACAGGAGGTAAAAATGGGTTTCGTATAAGACTCCAGAAACTGCAAGTGTCAGTCAATGGAGTGGTATCACGCAAATTCACCCTCAAAACCCAAATAGGAAAAACCATTGTTGTTGACTCGTTAAGACATTACAAATGTATTTTGAGACCGAAAAGGATTAATCCATGTGGATTTTATGCCACGAGGTGCAACAATTAAGTCAGAATCCTACTGTGATCCTACTTCAACGACTTTGTCGCACCATCTAAAACAAGAGGCATGAAATGCTGTCATCTAAAGTTGTTTCCATTCATGACAATACCGGGCCTCAGCATGAACTCTTAAGTCTGAAGTGGGAAATTTTTACTCATCCTCCCTACAGCCCTGACATAGCTCCTAGTGATTTTCATCTATTTCCAAAGTTGAAGGAATTATTTGTTGAAAATAATTCGAAAATAACGATGAACTTAAATAAGCATTGATAATATGGCTCAAATCTTTGATCAGTATAACATCGGAATAGAAAAAAACTGGTCCCACGATACATAAAGTGTCTCGACAACAATAGGGATTACGTAGAAAAGAAGGATGAAGTACTGTGGCTGTGTAAATAAAGTTTGTTGTTGATATCTTTTTGTTTTTATTTAACCAGGCTAAAACATTCTTTACTTTCCGGACAACCCTTATGGCAGATAGGAGAAAAATATGGATTTTGGTACCGGGCCTTTGTACAATAATTTCCTGCCAGGTGGGAGCGCTCATGTCACTGTGACGTTGGAAATACAGTATCTACTTGGCCAGCCCACCCACATTAAATAGCAACTAGAGAACCCGTGCGGCTCGATGAGCCGCATAGTATGAAACATAATCCCGAGGAAAACGTTAAAGTTATGCTTAAATTAGAGTAATTCTAGTTAAATCTTAGAGTTGTTTAAACACTTGTTAGAAACTAATTTTAAATATCTATATTTACGTCGTCAAGGTTCACCTACATTATTTCTGCTCTCAGTTTTAACTGATAAATAACTTCTAATGAGTACTAAACGATATCCTTCAATTCGAGTTAACATGATGCGAAAGTTTTTCCAGCATTGTGAATTGAAGAAAACTGTTGCCTTACTGATAACCTGTGTTAAGTAATTTAAGTTGGGTTATTTTATTTCTTTGATTTGAGACATCCTCCTAATAAAACAAATTTTCTCCTTAGAGAATCCTAAAAAGTTGGGTGATACAGAATCAACCATTTCATGTGCTCTATTTTTTACTTACAAACTCTGGGTTACTAACTGGACAGCCATAATCTGCTTTGAATAGGCTAAAGTAGCAACACCATTGAAAGTTGGTTAACTATTTTAACCAAGTGAATGTATATCTGGATAGGTATCTGTTAGACCAGGCCGCCTCTCTATTTCCACTCTCTTCATATGCATAAAATATCTTATTATTAATTGTCTCATTCTCCCGTTTTTAAATACTTGAGGTATTTTCTGTTCTTGCAACAAAACTGATTAACTGTTTACTTGGTCTTAACCTCCTGAATATTACAAACATTAATATTTACTCACAAAAAGCTAATGAGTTTCTTTTTATAAACAGCTGTTTTTTGTTTTAAAATTTGTTCCATGTATTTCTTATGGGGAAAATCCGACCTTTGGGAAGGTCTCACGCCCTTAAGAGTGGGAATTTCAAAATTCTAAAACCTTATTGCAAAACTACATATTGAGACAAATCTTTTGACACCTTAAACGTTGAAATTGGTCCACAAATAAGGGAGGAGTTGCGTTAACAAAAAACGGCTTCACGTATTATATATATAGATAGATGTAATCTGCTTATTTTGTTTTAGGATTGGTGTAAAACAATTTTTGATCTCAGACAAACTTTAATGACAAATACTTTGGATATGGGTTGACAATTTCTATCATAACTTTTAGGTTGTAATATGACAATTTTTATCTAGCCTATATTTAGTCCTAAAAATAAATAAACATCCTCATAGAAAAGAGAACACCACCTGTATTACCATGTATGTTTTTATTGTTGCAGAATAGTCAGCCATGGTGGAAGTCTCAGTTCTTTATTTCTCAACCAGTTCTGTTCGGAACATGGGACGGAGTGTTTACGTCTTGTCTCATCAACATCTTCGGAGTTATCGTGTTTCTGCGGTCAGGTTGGCTCGTAGCTCAAGCTGGTGTTCTCAATGCTCTCCTCATCGTAGTAGCCACTGGTAAGATTTGTTAATGTGAAATGAAATTAATTTCCTCACTTCCATGTATTGGTTTCAGAGAAAGCCTTTTTTTTTTATTGTAAGAAATTAATTTATGTTTAGAATGGGACACACATTCAGCAGCCAAATCCTCAGTTTGACAAAAATGCCTGCTGTAAGCTGCGCCTTAGAAGCGATAATTACTCTAGTTATGTTTACTCTAGTAAACATTTACAAACTTATAATTTTCTGAGATTGAATTAGTGAATTTTAGTGAGTCGGTGGCTCAGTTGGTAGCGTCGCAGACTTCGGGCCCAAGGCAGCGATGTCATGGGTTTGGATCCTGGTCACTGCCACTAAAATTTATCAGTACAGTTCACCTTTGTACTGTATCGGCTCACTCCTTGCTTTTCTCAAATGATCCACGCATGGGCGCTTAGTCTATGTGGACGGGCAAATGCAAAATTGAAAGAGGCTGCCAACCTCTTAAAAAAAAATAAATAAAAAATAATTGGACCTCACCGACAAGCTTAGTTAACTTATTGAGGCGAAATGGCTGGTCCCCCAAAGTTAAAACGTGCAACAACGTGGGATATACCAATAAACATATTTTAACCCCCATTAGGCTTCAGCTAGGTAGCTTTATCTAGGATAATCATAGTCAAAAGATTATAATACAAAGAAAGATCACAAATAAGGTCTGCGACTTACTCCGGCACAATCAATATAAATTAGCCTACCGATACTCAGAAATGATCCTGGAATCGCTATATATGCAAAAAATGATTATCCACACTATATGGAATAATAATCAGCAAAGATTTACATATCCGTCGACTAAAAATCCTTTTATATAAAAATTCAGTGGAGTTATGACCAACGACATAATATAATCTAGGGCCTAAGATCTGATCAAGCCAAAAAACCAAGATAGGCCTAGAAATAATTGAGGGGGTTAGAATCAGAGTGGTCTAAGTCAATTTTTTTTGTAAATTGACTTAATCCCATTTTAGGGTTCACCAAGATGTACTCTATTAAGATTCAGAATGAAATAAGTCCTAGTTCAATTTTTTTCCGCTAGATAGCAGCACCTCTTTCTGTCACTCAACAAAATGCAACAACCTTTGAGGTAAATGTGGTCTAAGTCTGACTTAGACCACTCTAACCTCAACAGCTGTGAGGAATGTCTCAGATGCTTAGTAACAATGGCTCGGCGCAACCCTAATAGATTTGATATTTTACAAGCATTGATTGAAGACAGTAGTGATGAAGAGGAAGAGACTGATAAAGAAGATATTTATGCACCTAGTGAGGAGTCTGATAGTAAGTAAAACACTATTATTACTACTTTATTCTTATTGTATGTTGCAGTTTCTAGTTTTGAATTTTAGGTTATGTTTACAAAAGTTTATTTTTAAAGGCATAGTGATTTATTAACCAGTAATGCTCATGTACTAAGCTATTTATTTATTATTTTGCAAGGGTCTTTGATAAAAAATACTATAATCTTTCGTCAAATATGAATAATCAGTATTTTATACTTGATGTGTATTTTTATAGGTTCTGAATTTGAGAGTTGGCCTAAGCCTAAACAGAGGAAAAAAGTGAAGGAGAGGACTGTGTTAACAGAATTAACAAGCAATGAGGGTCCATCTTGCAGTACAACAACCCTCATCAACCCTATTACCCAAACTGGTAGGTACCTAATTTCATATTAGCCTACTTTTTGTTAAAATAAATTGAGGATAAATTGGGACTTAACAACAACAACATAATAATAATATGATAATTCTCAGATTGAAAAAAAGGAGACAAGAGAAGGGTTTAGGAATATGGAATATGAACGGGGGTGGTCTGATATCAAAGTTTTATCGGCAACTTTCAGAATTCGTCTCCGACACAATATATCGATTGCTTTTTTCAATATATCTATTGAATAATCGAACAGGTACTTAGGGTTAAGTTATGTTTGGTTAGGTTATCGATATTAAAATAATGATGTATTTCGGCGGAGATGAATACCGAAATTTTGCTGTATTATCCTTACATTTAGGCTATATTAAGAGTGTTTCTGTTTCATTTTTAACCTAAAATGACCGCAACAAGCAGTTTCTGTTCTTAATATCGGTACCATAGTTAAAAATTGTGTTTTTTACAGATTCCCATTCAGAAGATATTGAAAACCTTGACAACACCGGAGTTAACAATGCAGCGGAGCAAAATACTACTGACACTACTGACGAGGAGGAACAAATCAATATATTTCCTGAAAAAAGGAAATGCCGAAAAAGATTACGAAATCCAGAAGGAACAAAAAGGAGTAAAGCTAAACGTTCTCGAAACTGTGGTGAGCCTTACATTGACTACAAAGGTCGTCAAATTGAAGGTAAAAGTTTTGTTAACACTATTTGCAACTGCAAATTGAAATGTAACCAATCCATCACAGAAGATGAGAGGAAAAAGCAGTTTGACAAATTTCATTCAATTGGGGATTATGGAAAACAAAATGCATATTTGTGTGGCTTAGTGCATGAGGTTGCTGTGCACACAAGAAGGCCTCGAAACAATAGTAGGGGTGAGAGGTCATGCAGTTACAGGTATTTCATACAAAAATCTGGAAACACTGTTAAAGTATGCAAGAAATTCTTCCTTGAGACGTTTGCTGTTTCTAATGGAAGAGTAAATAGAGCGTTGCAGAAAGTTAAGACTGGAAGGTCGCCAGGGGAAGATTTAAGGGGGAAACATAAAGTAAAAAAAAATTGCTGATGAACTTAAACAAGGTGTCATTGACCATATCATTAGTTTTCCTGCATATCAAAGTCATTGTTGCCGGAAGGACAACCCGAACAGAAAGTTTCTTAGCCCAGAGCTAAATCTAAGAAAAATGTATAATCTTTATGTTGAGAAATGCTCAAGCCTAAATACTTCTGCTGTCAAAGAGCACTATTACAGGCATATTTTTAATACCGAGTTCAACTTGGCCTTTTTATGTACCACGGAAGGACACGTGTAAGAAATGTGACAGGTACTTGCAATTAATCAATTTAGAGAGTAATGAACAGGTTAAAGCAGATCTCAACAGTTCTCATGATCAACACCTACAACAAGCAGAAAAAGCAAGGGCTGCACTGAAAAATGCTGCTGTAGTAGCAAAAGAAGACACTGATTTTTATGCACTCTCATTTGATTTACAGAAGGCATTGCCATTTCCAATGTTGACTGTATCGGAAGCTTACTACAGACGTAACATGTACTGTTATAACCTTGGAATCCATGATTTGAGTTCCAACAAAGCTGTAATGTATGTTTGGGATGAGTGCACTGCTTCCAGAGGCTCAGAGGAAATAGCCTCTTGTTTAGTGCGTCACATTAAGCAACATTGCAATACGAAAAAGCATATTGTCTTGTTTAGTGACACTTGCACCGGGCAGAACAGAAACATAAAAGTTGCATTGAGTCTCCTGAAACTTGTGCAAGAAGATAATTTTGTTATAATTGACCACAAGTTCATGATTTCTGGTCATTCGTATTTGCCGAATGATGCCGATTTTGGTTTAATAGAGGTTGCGGCAAAAGGAAAACCAATTTACTTACCTGAACACTGGTATGGATGCATGGCCTCTGCTAGGAAAAAGAATAAATTTTTAGTCGTACAAATGAGAAAAGAGGATTTCGTCTCAACTGGACCTCTTCAAAAAGCAATAACAAAGAGAAAGAAAAACACTGACGATGAAAAAGTAAACTGGCTGCAAATACAATGGTTTCGATTCACAAAAGGCAATGAATTCGAAATACAGTATAAAAACACTCTTGATGAGAGCAAACCTTTTTCTACATTGAACCTGCGACCTCCTAAAGGGCGGCCAAGAACATCATTTCCAGAACAAACTCCACTTTACAATGAACCTAGAGTTTTGAACTATTTGAAGAAGCGAGATATGTTATTCTTGCTCAAATATATTCCTCCAGTGTACCACAACTACTTCAGGAACATACGCAGTTCTCAGGATGTACCAGACACTGGCTTTGTATCCGAAGGGGATGAGGAGGTTGATGGAGAAGAACCGCCAGTTGAAGAAGAAGAACGGCCAGTTGAAGGAGAAGCAGATGTTTAAAAAAAATCATGATGAACCAATTATTATTTTACTTATGTAACAGATGTTCTTTTTTATAAATAAAATTATGTTTAACCACTTGCCAATTGACTTATGCTCATATAAAAAGTGACCTACCCACCGATTACCTTAGAATTAAAGTGGTCTAAGTCTTCAACCCCTTCAATAAAACATCCCCTATTATTAAAAGCCTTCAAAACAATCATAAATATTTGCAGTAAATACTAAAGTTATATTTTCAGAAGATTGCATGAAAAAATATTAGCAACTTGATTTTTCAGAACTGTTTTAGTAAACCATTTCATACTGAAAAATTCATGCTCCATGACTTAGACCACTCTGATTCTGACCCCCTCAATTATAATAAAGAAACAAAAATCAGATAATATTAATATGATTAAGTTAATAAATTATTATAATGAGTATGAATTTATAGTCCAAAATTAAATAATAACCAACGGCTAAATTAAGACAAAGTATATAGGCCGAAGATGTATAATAATAAATGTAAAGATTCCAAGACTTGTTACATTGGCAAAATTATTAATTTATAGTGCATATATAGTGATTATAGATTTATAATGAAGGTTGGTTAAATGGTTATAAGGAAAAAACAAAAAGGAGAGATATTGTCTGCAGCGGCATAAAAGGGGCGTTTGTGATTAACACAGTATAACAAGCCACGCCCCGTGCCGCTACGCCATTGGTCGGGAAGTACGCAAATCTAAACTGCTCCAATGAATAACCGACAGTTTAGTGTAGTCAACGACGCCCTATTACAAAACTTTAATTACCAATTATACAGTAATTAGGAGACTTGAATGAAAAATTTTCATCAGTATTATATTTGCCACATTCCTTATTATAAAGAACATCATACATACTAAGACAAGAGATATAGTATTTGTAATTAGGTCACCACCATGGAACGCTTTGTTAAAGGCTTATCTTATAAGGGAGTTTTTAAATGCTATAAGTCATTATATATAGGGTAGGCCTAAGCCTAATTTCTATTAGAAGTAGTTATTTGTGTAACTAGTGAGCAAAGGGGCACTTTGCTGCACACAAGAGAAATGGGTACGCACAAGCCTGTGGCTCGTGCGGAATGTATCTCGAGTGCAGCAAAGGCCATTTGCCCTCGTGTTACACATTATATTTTTGCTACAGTCACTATAAAGCATATAAATAATTAGTCTTTCAAACACACTTTTTTAGGTTAGGTTAAACCCAAGTGTTGAACGGAATAGGAAATACTGCACCAGCTGATTGTAGTCGAAGTATCTTTAAGTGTTACTTATTTTCAAGAGTACACGAATAAACAGTAATAATCAGTATAAATAGAATAAACAAGTACATTGTTCTGCAAAAATGCAATAAAACATTTTCTGACAATTTTGTAACTTTCTCTACGCACCAAGAGGAAAACAGTTTGTATGCTCGTTCATACTTCTTTCTTGATTTTTCAGGTAACAGGTTTAATGAAACATGTTTTGCAGACTCTGCTATTTCTTCTGGTCTACACATATTCACAATAGTTTTCACTGAGTTCATTATTTTTAAACATGTAAGGCCCACTTATAATTATCTTCCAAATATAACACTTTAGGTTATGTTCAAATCAAGCGTTGAATGAATATAGAATATAAATCATAGTATCAATAGTCAATCAGCTGATCATAATAGTAGTATCTTTAAGTGTTGCCAACCTATTTCCAAGGGTACACAGATTACATGCATAATAAAACCACGCTGTTTTGTGTTGTTTGGTTGGAATACTGGTGTGCGCCAAAGTATAGACCGTACGACAAACTATAAACGGTGCGACAAAGTCAGTAAATGCAACAATTAGCAGCTTTCTGTACTATAATCAGTGCAACAAAGCCAACTTTGTCAGGCAACTGTAGGAAAAAGAACATTTATCTAAAAATGATGCCAACTCGGCAGATGGTCTTATAGCCCATAGCTGTGTAAAGTGCTATTTTTTCCTTTGTTCTTTTAATGCAGAATATTATGTTTTGTTATCAGTTACTGTATATTTGGGTTGAGTTTATCTTTGTGTTAATAAAGCACTGTTTCATCTCATAAAAGCCCCTGAACTATATAATTTCCCATGTGAGCTAGCTGAACTCCACCTGAACTATAATTTCCCATGTGAGCTAGCTGAACTCCACCTGAACTATAATTTCCCAAGGGAGCTAGCTGAACTCCACCTGAACTATAATTTCCCAAGTGAGCTAGCTGAACTCCACCTGAACTATAATTTCCCATGTGAGCTAGCTGAACTCCACCTGAACTATAATTTCCCAAGGGAGCTAGCTGAACTCCACCTGAACTATAATTTCCCAAGTGAGCTAGCTGAACTCCACCTGAACTATAATTTCCCATGTGAGCTAGCTGAACTCCACCTCAACTACCCACTTTTTCCCTACCTCCCCTTTTTCTATAATTTTTAATCGCCACTCGGGTTCTTTTTAATTTATGAAGTTATTAAACATGAAGCCACAGCTTTGTTTTCTGAATGCTTTTTCAAATCATTGAAGTTCTGGCAACAAACATATGTTAAACAGACCTAGAATATATTATTAGATGGTATTTACATGCTATATATTTCTACTAGCTGGCCCAACAGACGTCGTCCTGTCCTAATGTGGTTTTATGTCAAATGCTCGTTTATTTTCAAGATGAGCTCGTTCGCATCGCTCAAACACGTCCTGGTTGAAGTTCGTTTGCTACGCTTACTCAGCTCAGCTTTAGGTTAGAGCTCGTTTGCTATGCTAACTCGCCTCCAGGTTGAAGTTTGTTCGCTACGCTCACTCACCTTTTGGTTGCAAATTAGCTGTTGTCTTGAATTAAAAAAATAATAGTGCTGCACTCTGTTGGTAAATTTATAAACTTTTTAATGCTATTGAACATAACAGAATCAAATTGTTTAGTTGGACCAGCTCCTAAGATTCTTTAATTACCTACATTTAAATATAAGTACTCATAAGGTTAACATGGGAAACTCCAGAGCCACTGGGGCAGAGCCCTTTTGACAGATCTGCACCAAACTTCACACAAACAAACCGTCCTTGAATAATGCTTAATAATGACTGAACGTTTCATTACAATCTGTCGAGCGGTTTCGGAGTCCATAACGTTCAAATATATATTTACAAACTTCCTCTTTTATAAATATAGATGTGAGTATTTAAAGTTTATAAACTCTGTGAGACGGATAAACATTTAATTGTTCTCAGTTGGCGTAGCGTTGATCACAGTATTGTCTGCGGTTGGTATCTGTGAGCGATGTCGTATGGAGAGTGGGGGAGTGTACTTCCTACTGGCTCATGTGCTGGGTTCACGTCTAGGTGGAGCCATAGGCCTCGTCTACGTCTTTGGTCAGGTACGTGATTCATAAGCTTTTTTCGGTACTTTCCTGTTAAAGGGAACATTCATTATTATCGATGATTTTTTTTCGATATATCGATATTTTTGTTTTCCGATCAGATCTATTACAAATTGACAACAACAACTAACTGATCTTGTTTAGGCTAAAATAGTCTATATGGATTAAGAAATGAAACTATTCTAAGCTAACCTAACACAACCAACCAAACTTGCTGTACCATTTAAAACTTCCGTTTGGGTTTGATAATAGAAAAGGCAAGTTAAACACGGAATTTTTAAATGTTACAGCAAGTTTGGTTAGTTATGTAAGGTTATTTTTTTTAGAACAGTTTCATATACTGAACAATATTTATCGTAGTTGTCAGCTGATATGTTTCAATTTGTTAATATCGATATATCGGAAAAAATCATCGATAATAATGAATGTTCCCTTTAACAGGAAAGTACCCTTTTTTCTATAGGCTATCCTTTCAGTGTTTGATCGCTAGTGATTTAATGGATGCATATTAAATCAAATTAAACGTTTTTCATTGATTCATGTTCTTTTATATATTTTAGTTTGTTTAGACATTACTGTATATTGTTAAAGTTTTGTAAAAGGAGGACAAAATTTTTTCGCCCAATGTATCGTAGGGCGTCTAAAGTTTTTTTTTGTGATTGCTGAAGTGTGTTTGCGTGATATATGTATCTACAAAGTATAGTTGTATTTTTTAATATTATGTTTTTTTTTTTAATTTCTGTAAATTTCTACGATGGTTTTAACTTTTAAGTTATTTATGCAGTCATTACACTTAATATTCCCATCCTTGTGTTTTACTTCATTTATATTTTTCCAACTCAGGTTGAATGTATTTTTATTCTGGTCTCATAAAAATATTTGATTTAATTTCAATCTTGTTTTGTGTGTTAAATATTTTATTTCCAAATTTGGTTTTAAAAAATTAACTAAAGCACCTCTAAATAGTTCACAGACTTATTTGCATGATTTCCTTTTATTGAGATATGTTTAACCAGGATTTTCACTAAGGGTAAAAAACAAAAATAAAAATAGTGTTTCAAATAGTTACCTTTATTGATCAATTAACATTTTGCAGGCAGTTGGATGCTCGCTGTTTGTCCTTGGTCTAGGAGAGGCTATTGCTGGACTGGTGGGTCTGGGAGCCAACGCCAGTGCTCATCGGTTGTTCGCTAGCGCAGCAGTTTTGCTGCTCTCGGTCATCAATCTCGCCGGGGTCAAGTGGGTGGTGAAGCTACAGTTTGCTTTGCTGCTAGTTCTGCTGCTTGCTGGACTTGATTTCGCTGTTGGCAGCTTTGTACATACTGAAAGACGTATGCATACAATATTACACAGTAATAGTTGGTAGTCTTAGTGTATGTTCATTGCAATAACTTTGCTATTGATGGCTTAACCCTTCGCGGATGGGTGATGGATAAATCCGCATAAGTCTTTGGCGATAAAGGACTGATGTTCCGGACTGGAAGCGGTTGTATCCGCCTTCTCTTCAGACAGACTGGCAGGTGCTTGAGCAGTTGTTTTGCGGTACAACCATTGCGGTACATTCCTGCGTGACTTTCCTGCTCTCTCCATGGCTGCGCTCTCCCCCGCTCTCCCCTCTCTCTTGCGCGCCAACCCCTCTTCTGCGCCACCCCCCACCTCACGCGCACCTACCACCACTCCTACGCTCCTCTCTCAACGTTTCGCGCTCAACATTACGTTGTCATTATTTATTGTTTACATATTTTGTTCTTTATTTATTGCCTAACGTTGCCATGGTCATATCTTCAAAGACGGGTGGCAGATATGTCCGCATAGTTAAAAAACGAGTAAAAAATTATTTTGAGAGTATGAAGTGTTCCATTGTGTTTATTTCATGTATACTTGTATAACAAAACACAAATAAGGAAAATTAATTTTTATTTTTTCCTCTCATTTTTTCCCGTCCTATGTCACGATTTCGCCCGTCCGGGAAGGGTTAATCATTTTGTCAATACTGAATCCAAGATGGGCTCTTACTGCTTGAGACTTTTAACGACACATTTTGTACAGTTCTCGTTAATTGTTCATAAAATCAAAATCAAGTAAGTTATAGCATTGACTATTGGATACTGGTACTGAAGTAGACGTCCCATCTATAGCCAATTTTGGCCCATTGGACCAGCTGTAGCCAATTTTTTGTAAAAAAAAAAAACGTAGTTGTGTGAGCCAGACATAGAATGAGCTAGTGTCTAAAACTATATTTTATACCTTATTTTTTGTTGCTGGTCAAGTTGATGAGTCGTAACAGTTTCTAAAGCTCACATTAAGTCATTCCATTACTTTGGATTGGTAAATATATTGTGTATTCAACAGAAATCAGTAATTTATATCAGCACAATCTGTTGGTGGTTAAAAGACTGGCTACAAATTTAACATGGGGATGGAATGTCTAGTTGTATTAATAATCAAAGCTATTGGATACTGGAACTATAACAACCTTCGTTATTGTTGCATTAATTTATTCTTAAAACAATTTTAAGATGAATCAGAAAGTTTTCAATTTGCTTTGAGTTTTGTGGTTTTACGTAAAATTTGTTCCTAACTGTCTGCTGCTAGTGTTGGTTTTTATTTCAAATTTGTTTCCTTATTCACAATGGTAGTTAACTGTACATTGGGTTTCAAAATATTTACTGGTCTAATTGAAATAACTGGTTTTATTATGTAGTGAGGAGTCTTCCTCAACCCTTGGTACGTTACGTTTACATGGAGAATCTTATAACTAAGACCACCAGTCCAATTCTAAGAACTTTTGTTTTGTTTAAACAAACATTTTGAGGGAAAGTGGACTAAACACTTTCATTTCTGTGGATGTAGGGAGGATTAAACTTGTCGCTCTTGCACAGAAGTCCAATACTCTAACCACTAAAAACAACACACCCAACAACTTGTCCTTCATGCTTTCAAAGTACCGGTAAGAGAAAGGTGTGAATTGGATGGGTTTGATGTAAAAACTTTGTTTTCAAGTAATAGATGGATAGATCTCATATTTTTTTATTCTTACAAGTATTTTTTAGTCGCTAAATAAAAAAAACCAAATCAATGTCCTGATAGTTGTGCTAAAACCACATAACCCTTTAATCAATCTCTGACATATAACTCAATTGTTTGTAGGGAGTGGTTTCCAAGGCTGGATGTCTGGGAATCTCGAGGCTAACCTGTTTCCCGCGTACTCAGACGGTTACGGTTGGTTCACTACGCTTGGAGTGTTCTTTCCCACGGTTACAGGGGTGTTGGCTGGCATCAACATGAGTGGAGACCTACGTAACCCTTCCAATGACATACCCAATGGAACATTAGCCGCTTGCGCTACTGGGTAAGTAGTGCTGTTAGAACAGATGCTCTAAAGTAGGGATGAATGGGATTAAACTTTCATTTGATTCAGGATTTTCTTGGAATGAAATTTGTTCCAATCGTCAGCAATTTTGACACATAGTAATAGACGATGATGATGCCTCCGTAGTTACAAGAGATGTTCACAATAATCCTGCTCATGTTTGCCCTGCTGACATTTTGATGCTGGTGCTGTGTGACAGCAAAAAATGTTCACGATTGCACTGCAAATATGAAATATGTTGAGGATGGCACTGTGATCACGGATTATAAGTATTGTAAATCCATATTAGTCACGATTTTAAAACAAAACCTCTACCAACTGGCTTACTTGTGAATTATTCTGTAACAGTACCTCAACGTGTTAAAACACCACACAAACCAGAAATTAATAGTGACGGGCAGTTGAGGTTTATATACAGGGTGTCCAACGTAAGGTGTCTCAAATTGATTACGGAAAAACGGCTTAACGTACGAGGATGAAATAAAATTATTTCCCGCTAAATGGACACCAAGGAAAAATGTAAAAATATTGTCAAAATTTTAGTGACCAAAAAAACTGAGGGTCACTACTTTGAATATTGGAATTTTCAAATGTAAACATATGTCATGTTATACATAATTTTTAAGGGTTTTAGACAAACATTTTGGCGAAAACAGAAATTAATTATCTTTTTCCGTTTTAAAATGGCGGCAGTTTTTTGTGTGGGAAAAATCAATATGTTTTTAATACTCTGTGTTTCCTATAGCAATGCACTTAACCCTTCTTCGGTTGAATTTTCTTACTCGTTATGAAATTAGCTTTACTGTGATATGCTACAAGTATAGTTTTTTTTTTATAATAAAAAAAAGACTTAATAATTTGCAAATGCCCATTGTTTGAAATTTTCAAATAGCAACACAAGTCAAGTGGCATATCATTTTATAGGTTTTTTAATTCTAAACAACTTGGTAATTTAGACTTACTTCGTATCTCTTTTAGTTTTTGTGTAAATATAAAAAAACATAATTTTCTTATATCAAATGCATGTTAACCTTGTAAAAGAAAGGAAAGATAGAAGTGTGTCTTCAATTACAGAAATGTGTGGTTTTTATCAATGTTTCAGTAAAAGAAATAAGAATCATTGATTACCATGTTGCTGTTTAGAGATATATAATAGTTTGACTTTTAAATTTGTTTTACATGGTTGGATAGAGTTTTAGTCCCAGAAACTCTGCATCTAGACTTTTTAAGGCAGTTTAGTTTGAATGATAAATGATTTGATTTAATTTTTAACACACTGATTTCTTCAGGACTGGGTTGTACCTGATTTTTGTGTTCTTCCTTGGAGCAACTTGCACTCGAGAAGCTCTTAGAACAGACTTTATGATTGCTGCCAAAGTTTCAGCCCTCCGTAAGTGCAAATGATTCTGATTCCATGAATTGATTTAATTTAAATTACAGTAGAAGAATAAAATGATTTTTTATTACCTACCTACTTAAAACATTGGTTAAGTTTTGTGAGTGTAATTTTCTTGTAAAGATAATGGTTTCTAAACTATAAATAATTATTATTTAAATCTGGCTAAATGTTGAGTTTTAATGTGTTGGAAGCTGGATAAACAGTTTTTAGACTCAGCCGTAGGTTTTATTAAATAATCAGTTGAAAGTTAAATTTTAGAAAATAGCTACATTGAGTAATGATTTGCACAATTGGTTTTGTATTTTATTTGATAAAAACTGTGTTTGGATTTGAGATTAGATTTTTTTTGGATTTGGATTTAAAATTATTCATTTTGCCCACCCTAATGAAGAGCAAATAACAGATTGTGATTTTTAAGGTATGTAAGGAGTTTCGACAGCAAGAACTTTGACAGATTTCAAAGATACATTGGTAAAGATAAGATAGGCCTACTTAGAATCAACTTTTTTTTAATTTTAAGTAAAAAACCTTAGTAACTTGGCACCTCTATCTACTTTTCATGACCCAAAATAGTGTTAAAATGATATAAATTTAGTAGAGTGACAGTTGTTGTTTTGCAGGTGTTCCTCTACTAGCCGGGCTGTACGTCTCCTCTATGTCAAGCTGTCTGGGAGCTATGTACGGTACTCCACGCGTCCTCCAATCGATAGCTAATGAGAATGTCATTCCTGGCATCCATATACTAGGAAAAGGGGTATGTCATGTAGAAGCTGTTTAGAATTTATGAATATGATCAGAATTAATTAGAGATGTGTGAGCACAGGTTTTTCAGGTCGAGTCGAGTTCGAGTCGAGTAATTGGCAAAAGATTTGATTCTCGAATTCGAGTCGAGTTTAAACCAAAAAGATCGAAGGATGTGTAAGTTTAATTAACTCCTTAGCCCTAGATCATGTAACTTGTAAAACAACCTTGTTACAAGCTGAAGTACGATTGTAAATAAATTAATTATTAATATTTGTGCAGTAACTTATTAATATAATGCATAGAAAATAATTTTAAAACAACAACAATAGAGCTCATAAATGAACTTCTACTTGTGTGAATATAATAAGTGTAAGTGGTAAGTGAGCATATATTTATTTATCTAAAAATTTAATACATTAATCCCTATTGATAAGTAATATTGCATAATACTTGGTTAAAATTACTTAATACTTACACTTTTAAACTCTTAGTCATAATCATAGTATTAAGTTTTTGATTTGACACTATTCTCATGAACTGTGTGCATACTGTGAATAAAGATGAGTTGACTTGACTTGACTTAACTGTTAATATTTCCAGCGAGGTCCCAACAGGGTACCAGTTTATGCTATGGGCGTAGTGGCAACAGTGATCATCACCTTCACACTCTGTGGCAACATTAACACTCTAGCTCCCATCGTGACGATGCCATTCCTCATGACCTATGCTACTGTGGACTACGCTTACTTCGCTCTGGCGCAGACATTCGACATTCAACATCAGAGAGAGTTGAGGTTTAGGTGTGTATCCTTATCGTTTAGCAATAATATAAAATTAGAGTATGTTTATTCAAATAACCCCCTTATGAAATTATTCTTTTGCTCATTAACATTTTGTTAAAAAATAAATTCTACTTTTACTAAGTAGCTCCATTTAGTTCCCTTCCCATAATAAATTGGTCGCAAGGATTTTACTGTAGCCGAGTTACAAGATGGCCCCTGGAACCTGGCCTAGCGATTTTTTGAGGGCGTTACTGAGCTGGCAACCCATTGCCAAAAGGTTTTAACATATTTAGCCAAAAATTAAATAAAGCACAAATTTTTAAAATAAACTTTTGTTTTGATTGTAACAAAAGTTTTCAAATTATTTCTTGGAATATTGTTAGTAATTTTTTATAAACTTTTATTGTTTTTGTGGGTTAATTCGTTAATATTCAATTAATATTTTTATACAAACGTTAGGTAATAAAATTAAACTATACATTTTAAAAATAAACAAATACATTTTGCTAGTAAATAGGCCTAATGTATTATTTACAAACACCTTTTGTAAATAATAATGTTAATATGTTATGTTTGTAAATAATACAAAAGGAGTAAATATGATATCTCATAGTAAAAAATCGCAGTAGTTGCAACAACTTTTGAACCCTAATTGTATAGCAATGGGTGGTTGTACTATTTTTTAGAATTACAAGGACCATAACATATTAATTTTGATCAAAACCAATTTTTTTCCTAAATATCCATTTTTTTGTTATTTTATGGTTTTTTTATGGGAAAATAACATTAGTTACAATAGCTTTTGAACCGTAATTTTTACGGGAACGGGATTTGTACCATTTTGTTCAGAATTTGAAGGACAATAACATACTAATTTTTTATAAAAATCGTTTGGGTCATTTTCGAGAAAATTCATAATTTTAGGTTTTTTGTGGGAAAATCCCCATTAAAAGTACAAAATAAAAAAAAATTAAAAATAATTCCTGGAGGTATTAGTACCTACAGACCAAATTTCATCAAAATTGGACCACAGGTGTGTGTCTGTAGCTCTGTACGCATCCACACATACAGACATCACTTCGAAAACCGCTTTTTTGGGTTCAGGGGGACCCAAAATGGGATATATCCACTCAAAATTCAAACTCGAAAATGTTGACAAAAACAATACTTTCTCCGTTTACTTATGTATAGGGGTTAAAAGTAATAAGTTACTTGTTCCTTTAACTGGACAAAAACATAAATACCCCCGCCGCAGCAAACCTGCCGACTAAGCGAATTTCCATTTGTCTGAATTGATTTTCAGTTAAATATATTTTAATAACATTAGGTTTAACGAGTACCTAGGTTTGCTGCTACAAGGAAACTAATAAAGTGGGTTTTTGAGTAAAATATTGATAGCTTAGTACAAAATAAATAAATTTGCCAAGTTTGATCAAAATATATCCATAAACAAGCAAACTACAACATTTTACAATATTCTCCATAAGAATAACATGGGAATTTTAAATTTACAATTTTTTTAATTTTCTCCGTTACTAATAATCGAACAAAAATACTTTTATATACTAAATTATTTGTTTTTTTAAGGTCTTTAAAAAGGTCTAAAGAGAAATTGGGAAATTTTGTGTTTTGAGGGTCAAAAGTGAGAAAAACCAATTTTTACCCCATAAAACCCCCCGTAAAGCCCCGTTCCCATGGTCTGATCGTGCTGGTTCGCGAACTCATTCAAGTTTATCCCGCTTTACACCTTTAAACCAAATTTCATCAAAATTGGACAAAAATTACTCAAGTTATCGCGTTCACGGACGTATATAAGTCTATATATATATAATATATATATATATATATATATATATACATATATAAAAATTTGAACGAATGGTGTTTTTGGCCTCTGGGGACATCAAAATGAAAAAGTAAATCGGTCCCGGGTCTAGGTCTTACCGTGCCACCTACGGTAATAGCTACTTCCCTATAGGGAAATTCGCTAAAAACACACAATCGTTTGCTTTTGTTTTTAGCATGCCTGCTGTCAGGCTCCGGTAAAACACCTTCAACTTTCAACACATTTTACTCAACTCCGCATTGTATGTTGTCCAACCGGGGGGCCATCTCGTGACTCGGCTACAGTACTAGTTAGGTACGTAGTTTTTATTTGTGTTTTATTGAGAAACAACTACCTATGTAATAAATAAACGGGTTTAAATATCCTTCCAACAACAAACTTAACTAAGCTGTCCTCATCATCACTGAGTTAAGTATTGTCATTAACACCTACACAAACACGAAACTTTAAACAAAACATTAGCCAAAAGAAAATAACTATGGCTGACTCGTGGTGTTGCTAGTGGTTCATGATGTGGAAACTAATAGCTAATTTATAAGTGTTATGAATAACTCCTGAGCACATGGAGATGTAGTTTATACTGTATGTTGGTTAGGTCGTCTTCAACGTCAGCCAACGGACGGATGCACGGTTCGTCTCCAAGTCTTCAACATTCGGCCAGCTCCGACCTAGACACTCTGTTCCCCGAGAGGAGTCAACACAGAGGCCATACTCAGGTAAGCGTTTTAGTTGTTACTCTTTGTTTTTGGTGTTCCATGGCTTAAATAAAACCAGGTCTAACATTGCCCCATTCAAAACCAGTTCTCATTGCCCCAATCAGAGAGAATCACCAGTAATCATATCACATTGGCTAGGATAGAATGCTTGTCGACCCTACAGAGTCAATCTAAAAGTTAGGCAAAATTCTCCAAAACCCTTAAACGAAGGTGGGGATGAAACAGCTCCTACTGAGCTTCTGCAGGATTTCCTGAGCGCTTCTAGAGCTCTGAGCCTTTGATTAAATCCAATAAATTGATCAGTCAAAGCCGTGACAACTTCGTATCGACCCCTGGATTTTTCTCGGCTCCTTCTGAGCACTCCGGGGAAGAAATTTGAGTGTGGCTGGTTCTAGGGGTAGGCATAGCCTAGAAACTGGTATTCAAGTTTATTCTCCCCCCCCCCCCGCGCTAGAATTTTGCATCACAAGACAAATGGAATTGGAAATTCGCTTAGTAGGAAGATTTGCTGCGGCAGGAGTATTTTAGTTATGATAACAAAGTAGTTACTTTTGTTCTGTTAAGACAACTTAAATGTTTTTCTTATTAATTTTATGCCCAATGCTTTCAAGGATGACTATGACGATGAGCCTGAAATGGTAAGTTCAAATTATAAAAAATCAAGCACTATTGATAACTTATATACCCCGCTGATCCCAACCATTTGTGGGGGGGAAAAGGTTACTGTATTGAATTTTAAATCATAGCTGAGGGTTTCGAAATACTAAATAGAGTGTCTAACCAAACTGAAAAAGCTCCTGAATTGTTTGTGAATTTTGTCTAGAGCCAGACAATTTTGAGTAGTCTCTAATAGCCTATGGGCAAGCGTTCATTCACTAACAGCTTTCTTTTTTTTTTCTTAGAGGTAATTGGGTAAGAAGAACGCAATTACGGGTGTTGCTGTGATTGTGTTGGATAATCACAGATATTTCCATGATCCCAGAAAACAATGACAGTATAGTTGTAACCGGAGGAAATATTTACAATGTGTCCATGATCAAGGGACATACTCTTGGTGATTGCAAGATAAATATTTGGCCAATCATAACTAGTGGGCAAAGTGACACTTTGCTGCACTTGAGAGAAGTGTTTAAACGCACAAGTCGTAGGCGAGTGTGGAAAGGCAGTTTGCACTCGTGTTACACATTATATTTTCCCTACAGTTACTATAAATCATATAAATAATTAGTCTTTAAAACATCAACGAAATGGGAAACGCTGTACCAGCTCCAGCTGATCGTAGTCATAGTATCTTTAAGTGTTGCCATCCTATTTCCAAGCGTACACGGATTGCATGCATAGTAAAAGCACGCTGTTTTGTGTTGTTTGGTTGGAATACTGGTGTGCGACGAAGTAAAAACTGTGCGACAAAGTAAAAGTGTGTGGTAAAGTAAGTAAATGCAGCAATTAGCAGCTTTCTGTACTACAATCAGTGCAAGGAAGCCCACTTTGATGGGTGACTGTAGGAAAAAATACATTGTTCGAATTTTCTTATGCAATTTTACTGTATTCCAGACAAATCGGAAAAATTTGGTTATCCAATCAGAGTCTGGTCCCAATCTGTGTGGATTAGCGGGACCGCGGTGTATATTAATATCGTTACTGATTTCCTTTGATTATCAGTTTTAGACATAGTAACCAATTAAATATTGGTAGCAGATATTTCACTGAGAAATTTGGTATTTACTGATTCCTGGAGCATTGTTCAAAGATTAGCTGTAAGATAATATTTTTCTGGAAGCCTGCCTCACCGTTAGATTAACAGTAAACACTCATATCACTGGAGTCCCACCGGCTACAGCCAACAACAATCATTATGTCCGATTCCCTTTGTCTGCTCTTGACGAAGTTCCCCAGGGGATGAAATATTGTGTGTTTTCTGTGTGTACTATGGGCTATGGCCTACCTAAATTGTTTCTTATACAAGTAAGCTGCTATCCCTTTATTCTTTAAACATGACTATTTTGCCCTTGGCCTTTTAAAAAATAACTTCTGTGAAGAATTTTACTTACATACTTTCTTTCCTCTGGCCATTGGAAACCTATTTGGCATTTGACCCCAACTTCTTTGGTTTTCTACCACTTCCATTGCCAAATCAAATATTTTCTGGGGTTTTCTTAATTTCGTATGCGAATGAATTCTGGGGTGGACTAAAAAATCAGAGTGTATGACAAACAGCAAAATAAGGTGTTCAAATAATGCAAGCAATGAATAGTCTCATTTTATCAAAGAAAATAAGGTCTTAACCCAAATAAATAAACATTGATGATTCATAAAAAAATTATATGTTTCGTAGTAAAAATGTTCTTATGTAAACAATAAAGATGACACAGTGATTTATTGTTACAGTTGGAGACAGGAAGTCAGGAACAGTCCAATGTGAGAGTTCACAACAAGAGAGGACGATGGTACTCTAGTCTGTGCAACCGATGGCTGTCTCTGTTTGGGGTGAGTAGTCTATCCTGCAGATTTGTTTTTGTTTTTTCATCACCATTGACATTTTTTTATGGAATGCTCCAAAATTGGGTTATTGTTACTATCTAAAATCAACAGTTTGTGTGCTATCTAATCATTTGTTTCAACCTACTACCTTATAGGCAGTGCCAAATTTGGGGTACTTGCTGCCATAGGCCAAATTAACCCCAGCAGCCCTGGCCCCTTAGATGAAATATCTTCCGAGATCACGGGGATCTGGGGACATCATTGTTAACCGTGATTGCCGTGAAATCGAGAATATTTTGTGCGATTACAGGGTCATCGAATCAATACATGTGATCGTGACGAATCATTATATATTTGTTGTAAGAAATTATTTTGTACAAAAACGATGCGGCTCCCTTTTGCTCGAAGGCCACGGCTTAGTGATGAATCCGGCACTGCTAATGGTTGTCCTCATACAAAACGCCCTAGGAGCTGCTGTTGGAAGGTTTTATGTGACGAAGGTATTTAAACTCCACGCTCCAAGAATTCTGTGTTTTAACTATACGTAGTTTTTAAATGATCTCCTGATTCCCTCTCGTCTTATCGAATCCAAAATTATTGTGAAAAAGTTTTTGTTGGTCACACCTCTTTTTACTAATCAGAGTAGACAATAATACAGAGTAATGAATGATAAGCTAAAAGATGCAAAATGCCTGATTTGTGGTGTAACACACAAAGAATACCCAAGACAAGCTGTCCACTGTTTCTATTAGGATCCACAATCAAGCTCCTCCCAGGTGAACTTCTTTTGAGTTGTTTACACCTCTAACCAAGAGGGGATTGAAATCCTCAACCTATTTGGCTTTCTCATGGCCAAAGAGACAATGCCTGAGACTGCTCTATTAATAAGCACGCCTAAATGTTTGCCACACTAATCAACCAAAAACCCTAACGTTAAAGTAAAACTGACATTAATTACATACAGTAGACTCCCTCTTATCCAGACTCCTTGGGACCGAGGCCAGTATGAATAAAAGTTTTTCTGGTTAAGGTTAAACCGACCTCCCCAAAAACTCGTCAAAACGGACCGTTTAATTAAATGTGTATTTTTAGGAGAGCGTTGTATTTAGACACATGATCACTGGTCTCAAATCTTTCCCACGAGAACAGTAGTTTCAGTACTGCCCACTTCCTGCCGATCTAGTCCGGTTAAACGGATGTGCTGATCAAAATCGTCTAAGTGAAGAGATGTAATTTCTGCCGAGTGTAGTCCTGTTAAACCGATGTCCGGTTAAAAGGTGTCCGGATAAGAGGGAGTCTACTGTATCTATTTGTGAACTAAGATGTGAGCTTGTGTGTGGAAAATAAGTCACACATATTTTGACTTTAAGTAGCCCATGTCAAATGTCTGGGTATGTTTAAGAATGCCTATTTAATACAGGTGAGGAGATAATCTTAAAGATTAAGATTATTGAATTGATTTATGATTTATTGTAATTTTTTACTGCAGGCACTTGTAAAGGTAGGCATGATGCTGATGGTGGACTGGGGTATTGCAGCAGCCAATCTCGGAGCAGTGTTTGTTATATGGCTGTATGTTGGTTTGAGCAACCCAGCCGTTAAACCAGGAGCTTCTAGCCAGTTTAGACTTCTCCGCTGGCTTCAGATCGCTCTACTAAGGATTTGTGGGTCAGTTCAAACTTGGAATTTTGTAGATTCATATATTCTGTTTTGAAGTTTTTCAATACAATAGTCATTCACTAAGTATCCATGTAATTTTTTACTTTCACAGACCTGTATTACTAAAATCATAGATAAATCTTACTCCCTTGTGTTGCTTAGTCTATGCTAAAATTGTGTGGTTAGGGAGAGCCTTGAAAAAAATCATAGTTGCAAGAATAGTAATAACAAAGTAGGGATTCAAGAGGGTTATTTTTTCTGCGAAGCAGTAAAATGTATTAGAGTTCCAAAAAAGTATGGGCTAGGGTTATTCAATCTCTTTTAATGGCAATTCAGGGATTTTCAACTAAATGTGTATTTCGATGACCCCAGAAAATTGTAATTTTTAAATAATTGCCACCAGTTGATGGAGAGCGTGTCATCATTAACAACATTTGGTTAATTCTCCTTTCTCGTCATTTTGTTGAGTTGTGATCGTAACGAATTTAAAGGATATTGTTGTTATCATAAGAGATGATAATTTGGCTCTGGTTTACATCTTCTAGAGACATTCTCATTACAAACATCATTAACAATTACAGCTTTATCTATAGAGTCATTTTAAGTTCATGAAAATCAATAACATTAAGAAATTTATATACTTTTAGGTTATTTATTACATTTTAAACTATACTTTTAAACCAAACGTATATACGTAAATATGTAATCATTTTTCTCAGGAGAAAAGGTGTTGACTATGAGGAGATAGTTATTCCACCAGAAGTCCCCAACCTGAATTTGTGTCGTGATCAAATCAATGAGGAGAATGAAGACTTTGCCTATAGACAACGCTTCCACCAAACTGCCTCCATCCGTCCTGGCCAGTCGGCCTACGGGGACGTCCAGTTGTTGAGATAATCAAACATCAAGTGTACAGAGCTTAGTCTATGATGACGAGCATGTAAGAAGATGGACCGTTTTTATTTTAGATTATATTTAATTAGATTCAGACATTTTACGGTCAGTTTAACTGCCTCACTTAACTCTGAATCAGAATCGAGGCCACAAAACGTTGCAAAGCTTTTTTATATTTGCTATGGGAAATGACTACAATGATTTCTTGAATTACTTGAGCCATCTTCTTAAGTGCTTGTTGACTAGTAATATTTACCTAGAGGCCGTTGACAGTGCCTTGTTTTATTGAGTATCCTTGATGTCCTCTTCACAGAGAAGATAGAATCAGAGTCTACAATTTTGTTCATAAAATTGTTCTTTTACACAGTTGAAAAAATGTTAGCACAGTCTTAAAACCTTCAAATTGCCCATCCACTTAGGCTTCGGAAGCCTGTGTATGAATTATATTTAGCAAAGCAAAAAGTGAAGCAGTGCAGTACAAGAATTGACTATATTAATAAAATTTGAGTGGTAACATCGATTGGGAAAACAAGTTATTGCTGCAATGGTTTCACTGTCTTTTGCACTTCAGACTAAGCCATCAACTAACCTAAAAATAATTTGGTGCTCTAAAGGCCTAATACATAGTTAATTTACCAAAGAAAATAATTCAGCGTTGTTGATAGGACAAAAAGTCCACAACATATTTTATTTGATACTTAACTCCCCTGGCTTTTTTCAAAAGCTAGTCGCAGGCAAAAGACGTTTTTCTGTAAAGTTGGCTTTAGGCCAGGGTTTCTAAGGATTTTCTAGTAGACTGAAGAAGGAGCTAGTAGTCCGAAAATTCTATGTGCTATGTGCATAAATTTTTGTCAGTAAGGTAAGCCTGCTGTTAAACCTACCTACGAAAAAAATCTATTTTCCTAGGATAGTAGTAGTTCCTAGGTAAGTTAGTTATGTAACTCCCCACAGTGACTTGACAAAGTGGCCCAGAAAGTTGCTAATTGCTGCATCTTCTTACTTTTTCCCCACAGATTTTTTTTTGCCGCACATCAGTATTCCAACCAAACAACACAAAACAGTGTGCTTTTATTAGGCACGTAATATGCTTACGCTTGAAAATAAGAATTTGCAGTTAAAGATATTACAACTACAATCAGCTGGTGCAGCATTTCCCATTTCGTTCAATGTTTGGATTTAACCTAACCTAAAAATATGTTGTACAGTACAGTGTTTGAAAGACTAATTATTTATATGCTTTATAGTAACTGTAGCAAAAATATAATTTGTATCGCGAGCGTGAACTGCCTTTGCTGCACTCGAGAAACTTTCCACACTCGCCTACGGCTTGTGCGTAAACATTTCTCTTGTGTGCAGCAAAGAGCCACTTCGGCCCTTATTATTATTAGATAACAACGGTTATTATTAGTTACACAAATAACTATTTCCTTGTATCCTAACACATTCCTAAGCCAAACAATTTTCCGTCTAAAAAAATAACATTATTTATAGTACATTAATGCCTATGTTAACAATGCTCTTTTTCTATTGCAATGTAAGATTTTTTTTTAGCAAGACATTTCTTAATAGAAAAAAAAATACTTCTGACTCTTTCTTCTCTGTGGATCTTTGCATTTATTTATGTATAATTACTAAGTGGGCTGTGATGGTAAGTGTACTTCATGAGATTATTTATTTACATAATGATACATAATGTGACTTGAAGTAATAATACTACACAACTAATATAGTTGGAAACATCTTTGGGAATTAATGTAGCTTTAATTTATATTCTAAAAAAAGCAATTTGTCAGTTTTTATGATGAACCAATTTACCCTCTATTTTGTATTTTTGTTTTCATAAAATTGTGTCTTAGTAAAAGCTGTTTGCTTTGTTGCCATGATTATAAGAACCATAATTTAATCTTGCTTATCATTTCATTGAAAAGACTGTTGGAAACATGTCAACCAATGTTATTATTTTGTTTTTGAAACTGAGAATACTACATTAAGTTGGTTGGATTTGTTTTCAAAGTTATGCTAACAAGGAATTTTTTTTACTCAAGTTAACTTTCCTCAAATTTATTTATAATTTATTTATTGAATCAATACTCCTCTAATTTATTTGTGAGTTATTTATTGAGTTATTTAATTACTTTTTCATAATATTTATTAGGCCTAAGGCCACAGCCACAAGGGCGTTTTTTCACGCGGTAAATATTAGCTTATTTTCATGCTGCTTGAACTCCCGCTGGTTTTTTCACGTGGTAACATGTAGCTTATTTATTTTCGAACCGGTTGAAGTCTAGGACCAGCAAAACACAGTGGCAACCAGCAGTCAAATGCTGAATTCACGTGATTATGTTGTATACCTTCCTCATGGCCGGAATAGTGACCTTGTTTTTGACTAGTGAATAAGAAATATGAATGGTTTATTAATTTCAATACGAAAACAACTCTAAAAATTATTTTATTTTGTTAACATATTATTTAATTATATACATTTAGTATAAAAAAAAAATATAAAATAAATCTATTTATGAGATATTTAAAATCAATTTATAACTAGATTTTATCAAATCATTGAGTATAACTAAAATGTTTCTCTACATAAATGCCTCTTCACATTCTTTAGTCCAACAAAATTTCTTTCCTTTTTTTAGTAATAAATTATTAAGTGGTCCAGTAAGGTCGACGTATGTTTAGGATAACACATGTAGGCTATTTGTAATTGGCTAGACCCAAAAATATGTTACGCTATTCTGGAAAAAATTAAATTTATCTTGATTTAAACTTTCCATGACCACTTGAGCGACGCTGCGTGTTGCTCCTGCCCGTGTGACCAGGGCCAGAGCGTGAAAACATGCTTCAAAAATGCACCCTAGTCCATTCTTCTGGAGGCCCGTGGCAGGCCGCTGCATCTGCGTGAAAACACACTGCGTGGTGTGGCATACCTAATTACATTTAATGCTGCTCATATTTCTCACGTTTTTTCACGCTGTGTTCTTGCGTGAAAAAACGCCTGTTTGGCCATAGCCTAAATGTCATTTTTTAATGTGTGTATTTATTGTTAAATTTATTTATTTTTGTAATGTGTACCCTAGCAATTAACTTGATTGTAAGTGTCTATTTTTATCTGTTAGTCAAAGTAATAAAACAATAACAAATTATAAAATAATAAATTATAGCTATTTTTTCAGTTTTGTTTTCTTAGCCTCTAAAAGTCAATTCTCCGGCAAACTGCAGGCAGCATAATTTTTATTTCAATTGAAGTTCCGGCATTTAGGGGGAATGAAGTCATTTGATTGGCTGATCCAACAGTGACAGATAGCAGATGAGATATTCGATATGAAATTAAAAAATGAAACTGTTATAACCTAAACTAACTAACCAAACTTGCTGATAATAAAAAATTGAATGAAGGTTTACTAATCGAATCAATATTTTCAATCAATTTTAGGATAGCCCAGTTAAGAAACAGCACCAAAAGTCATGACGACAGTGACGACACTGTTGGATTAGCCAATCAAAAGACTCCATTCGCCCTATATGCCGGAACTCCAGTAGAAATAAAAATTATGTCTGCAGGCTGGAATAAAAGTCCAGAAAAAATGTTAATCATAGTATTACTACTAAACTAGATGGCTGGCAAAAAAAGGAGCTACTGTGTACCATTTTTTAAAATACATATTCAATTATATTATGAAAGTGGTATATTGTTAAAACAAAAATCTAAAAAATTATTTATGTGGGATCATATTGCAGTGGCGCAGCTAGAGCTAGAGAGAGGGTGGGGCAGGAGGGCTGTTTGCTCTCGGGGGCAGCAAAATTGAGGTTGCTAATTTTATTTTATTAAACCCTACTAAATTTGCTTGTGCATACTGTACTGAAGATGGTTTGAATAGAAAATATCTATATGAACGGTGGTGAGGTGAAAGGATGGGAGCGGGGACATGACTGCTCAAGTTCAAAGTGTGGCTTCTTGTAGAGTGTGGAGCATAGCTGTCTGAGCCATCCTACCCCTGATCCCCTATGTGCTGCTTGGTTGACACCTGTATTTATTTACAACATATTATATTTCTTCTTAAATTGCTTTTACTTTCATTCATACTTGGCTTAAAATACCTACTATGTATGGTCGCCATTTCATTGAACAGTATTGAACAGTATCTATCTGAAATTGAAGACGATCATAAGAAGGCATTTGGAAGTTTTGCTTCTGACATTTACCCATAAGATTTAAACAAAGGTGAACTGGTTGATTAAATAGAAAGTTTTAATGGACAGTAGATAAAAAAAATATGCTACAGCACAGTATATTTATAAACTAATTTATGAAAAAAAACTGGAAGAACCCGAATATTATGACTGCTCTGCAAATATTTCTTAGTCTTCTAGTCTCTCTTGCTTTAGGTGAGACTGAAAAAAAAACCAAAATAAAATTTTTGCTTCAGTAAACCAAAGTTGATCAAAAGCTATTTGAGAAGCACAATGAAAGTTTTTCTGCAAAAAAATCAAGAAAAATACAATCTTATATATTTTTAAAAAATTGGTTTTTCTTTTCCGAGTTCGTTTGGATCTTCTACCCAACCGATTTTCATGATTGAAGTCTCAAATTGAAGGTATGAATGAACGCACAGATTTGCCATCAAGCATCTGCATATATTTATTTATCTATATAATTTCAGTCGGCTTATATACGTAAACAAAATCTGCTCCCCATGTATTTCATTAGGGGAGTTAAATTTGGTTTTTCTATTCCGAGTTCGTTTGGCTCTTTTACCCAACCGATTTTCATGATTGAAGTCTCAAATTGAAGGTATGAATGCCCAGATTTGCCATCAAGCATCGGCATATATTTATATATAATCCTACTCGGCTTATACCACAGACGTAAACGAAATTTGCTCTCCATGTATTTCTTAAGGGAGTTAAATTTAGCTTCTCTTTTCCGAGTTTGTTTGGAAGATTTCACATCAACCATAAGCATATATTACCCATCGATATATAACTACTACATTACCTACTGTATTACTCGACTAAAAAACTAATTTTATTCATTTACAAATTCTTACTTCATTTTAAGACGTATTTTACCAGTTATAGTTATGATCCTACATATTTTGGTGTAAGAACCTTCAGTGAAATACCGGCTTTAATTTAAGCCATTAATTATTCAAATTGGACGAGTTTCAAGCAAAACAGTTGAACAACCAACATAAAATTATTTTCATATTGCTTTTCTATGATTAAAAAAACAATAGCTCCAGCATTGTTCATGTTATTTATATGTTTTGGACTCAAAATAATCAGTAAATTATACGCTTTAATTTGAACTTTTGATCGTTTAAATCAGTTACTGTATTACTCAATAAAAAATCATAAAATTTGATTATTTCTTGGATATTGTATTTATTTTAAAGCTGCAGAACAGCATGGGTCCTCTAGTTTAATTTACTTAACAAACTTATAGAGGAACAGTATGTAAAGAAAGCTGTTTACCCTTTCACTGAAATTTAACACATATTAAAGAATTTGTTTTATTTGTTCACTTTCAAATTGTAACTTACTCACAGGTTTAAGGGTTTCATAATAAGATATCTTCCACCATGAAGATATGCCCACCCAGCCCACTTATCTTGAAAGTTATTTCACTTTTATAACAATATAAAATTATACTGTTGGCAAATGGGAGTGCCGATGGAGACCTGTGGGGTTGCTTGCGTTTGGAGGGGCTTGACCTGGTCTCCATCGGCTTTCCCGCTTTGCTACACTGTAGAACAATATAAAAAATTACGTTTGGGCCCTTTTCTTGAAAAAAGTTGATAGTGTTAAGACTGAATGTAAAATGACATTGGCATTGGTACTTAGAAAAAAATCCACAGTTGCATGGTGAAAGGGAGGCAATTAGAACTTGTCCTTGCCACCCCCCCCCCCCTAGAAAAATATATACCTGCGGAAAAACTGAGCTATAATTCTAACTCACTGAGTTATAACTATAACTCAGTGCTGCGGACCTGATGAATAGTACAATTTTACCACCATAATTATTTTACCCCTCCTCAATTCTAAGTTAATCATCAGTTATTCTCAAGGTTAGGGTTCACTTACTCTACGAATCATTGACACAATGAGCCTCCAAATATGTAATTCCGTTTTATCTATGGTAATTCTTAAAACACATGGCTCACTTACTCTACAAATCATAGTCTATACGAGCTTCGTAAATAATATTGAAGGTTCACTTGCACTACAGGCTCGTATACTATACGAGCCGATCAAAAATATCAAATAAATTAAGAGGGTTCACTTACTCTACAGATCATTGTGCCTATGAGCCAAGCGTATGAATTCTTGAATAATTCAGGAATAAGCTCGTATAGTATACGAGCCAAAATACTGAATTTAAATAAATTACAGGAGTAGGCTCGTATACTATACGAGCCTATTTCATGATAACTATTACACAAATAGAAGACGGCTCACTTACTCTACAGTTCATTGGCACAATGATCTGTAGAGTAAGTGAACCCTCTACAAATATTAGAAGGCTCACTTACTCTACGGTTCATTTAGCTACTCGTCGCGCGGTTTGCAGCGCATCGTTGCAGGCGTGTATGGTAAACCAATACCGCAGTTCTGCCGTTCTGCCTTACTTCTGCCGTTTACTAGTCTTGCAGCGTGAAAGAGAGCTTGTTATGTTAATGCATTGTTGAATTTTTAACTTGTGTACTCGTTGCTAGAAATCAAGCAATTATCAAGTACCGGTACAGGAGCTATTTTAAGAGTTATTACAGACTTAATTTTCAATTAATTAAAAAGACTCACGTAAAAGCTTATGCAACTAATGGAATTACTTACTGTGTTATGAACATTTCTATATAATTAAAGTTGTAAATATTTTAAAATTGTTTAGAAGATTGCCTTTTTAGTGTTTTCTACAAACGTGTCTCAACTTATACACATAGACTGGTGGAGTGGTAATTTATATTTCTAATCATTTAACTTTAAATTATGAACGCTTTCAGTCACGTGAAGTTGAATTAATTAAACTGACATTAGTTTTTACCATAAATGATAAACCTTTTGAAATTGACTTAATAGCTTTGTATAGAAACTATAAATATGACTTTTATTTTTTCCGCAATGATTTGCAACGTATTTTGAGTAATTGTAAAAACACAGCTATTATGTTAGGAGATATAAATTTATGCATTTTAGAACAAAATAACAGTGTCATTGATTATTTAAGTATAATGAACTCATTTGGTTTTGAGTCGTTTATAAATGAGCCAACTTGGGGGAGAGAAAATTGGGTAAAGTGTTTAGACCATGTATTCATCAGAAGTAAGACTAATTTAATTTTTCATAGTAATTTAGAAAACTATGACTTTACTGATCATGCTGGAGTTAATGTAAATTGCGTAACAAGTTGTGATAGTGCTTTGAAAGAGGAGTTTGTCAAGGCTGTAGATCATTCAATTTTAAAAAGAAGGTTGGCTGAAGTGAGCTGGATGCCAGTGTTTGATTGTGAGGATGTTGATAAATCTCTAACAGTTTTTTACGATATTTATAATAAATGTATTGAGCAATCAAGTTTTTTAAGGCCTATTAACAGTAAAAATAGGCATCGAACTCCATGGATATCGGACACACTAATTAAAAAGATAAATGAAAAAACAGACTTCACTCTCGATTGAAAAAGCACTATGACATACATTTGTTTAATAGATATAAAGAACTCTCTAGAGAATGTTCTAATTTGAAAAGACGGGAAAAAATTAATTATTACTCATCTAAAATTGAAGCAGTAAAGGGCTGCATCAAAGTCTTATTGGAATATATGCAAATCTATTATGAGAAAGTCAAAAAATGAACTAACATCGATTAATATAGATGATGAAATTGTACAGGTTGAGGGTAATGAAAAAATAGTTGCTGACTCATTCAATAACAATTTTACTGGTATGCCGGATAAGCTGATTAGAGAATTGTATGGGCCGGGATTCCCCGCCATGCCGGATATCGGTCTAGCGTGCAGCTCAAGGTTACGTTTATCTGAAATTACTGAGGTAGAATTAGAAAGTTTAATCTTAAGCAAACCAAATAAACAGTCTGTTGGCTTTGATGGTATTTCCATAAATACTATAAAAGAAAATGTTAAGATTTTTGTCCCAATATTACGTCACATTTTTAATT